TTTATAAAATATTATATAATTTATATAATTTTTTTTTTTAAAAGTAAACATTAGAAAAAAATATTAGAAAGAAAAATTGTTTTATATAATGATGTACATCAATTTTTTATATATTTTTTTTTCTTTAATATTTTTGCAGAAAAATTTTTTTAAAGCAATACTACATATGTTTTTACAATATATGAAACCATTATATCTTATGTCAAGACAAATTCATTCATGTGTCTGACCATCATTTTCAAGACCAAAAGATGCAAAAAATAAAGCAAACATTTTGTATATTATATAATGTTTTCATTTTTAAATTATTTACACTTGATGATGTATTATAAACGATATTTTTAAGTGCATCATAAAAAGAAATTCAAAGAAAACAAATCTGGAATCATTGATAATCATTTGTACCATAGGTCTGTCAAGTTTCAATTTTGTTTGGATAATAATATGCTATTCAAGAAAAATTGTTTTATATAAATTATTTTACAATTATGAATTGTACAAAACAATAGACATCTAAAACAAAAATAATAAAAACCACTAAAAATGTATTGCATACAGCACAAAAAATGTATTCTAGCTAACAAAACTCATAATGAATACAAAATGTAAATATATCAATATAATATACAAAATATTTCTTTCATTTCTTGAAGATCATATAATATATATTATAATATATTCTATATATCTATATATTCTAAGATCATATATAATGTATAATAGATAATCTTGAAGATCACTTGTCATGCATATGAATGAATTCATCTTGACAAACATGATTTCATATATAATGTAAAAATATATACAATAATATTTAAGTATATAATTATTAAGTATATATATATATAATAATATTTAGTATTTAATAGTATATACAATAGCATTTAAAAAAGTTTATCTTCTCGAAAATTATTAGAGAAAATATAATAATATATAAAAATTTCATGTCCATCATTGCACAGTTTACAAAGAAACTTAAAAAAAAAAACGTTTCCCTCTAACACTTTTTTTTTTCCTTTTTTATTCTTCATAATTATATTCTTTTTTTATTCTTCATAACTTTGATTTTCAACTCCCGTTTTTCAGATTCAAAGCTCCGATAGGATGTCCGGATTGCAGCAGCGTGGCGTTCTGTGGAAGAAAGTGCAGGGATGCAGCTTTGGCCAGCTACCACAAATACGAGTGCAAAATTTTGGTCCTGTTGATAGGTATATTACACGGCTTACAAAGAACGATCCTTTCACCTGATCCACATTCCGAAAGACGATCATCTGTTGCTTCGTCAGGCTCGGGGATGAGCGTTCTGAGCATGCTCGCCTTGCGAATGGCGACTCAAGTTGGTCCAGCCGGCTGCCTCCGCATTTACCGAGCATTAAATCGTCAAGATTCTGTGATAGACGGGGAGGAAATTGCAGAATCATCGACGATAACAACAACGACGGAGAAACTGAGCAAATCGGCGAAACGTCGTTCGAGAAGGAAGAAACTGCGAGACTCGAGGCGGTCAAAGGGGGAGGAAACGGTAGCGGAACGTCGGGAAATAAAAGGAGAGGAAGAAGAAGATGAGGAGAAAATGGTGGAAAATATGGATCTACGAGTATACGATCTCGTGATGCATGAAAAACGAAGGACGGCCAAGGACTTTTTCGAAAGATCCTTGATGGCAGCGTTCCTTTTCAAGTGCTTGCAGAAAGTTGGATTCTTCGATAATCCCTCGAGCAACGAAGGTAAGTTAGAAAGGGTAAGAAATGTTTTTTTTGTATTTTCTGATTGTACTTGGTGAGAAGAGATGTTATAAGAAGTGTAAGAAAGAAATCAGATTGTTTATATAAATTTTATTAGAAGTATACAAATGTTAATTCAGCATGATTAAATTATCAATAAGAGATTATTTACTCTAAATAAAAATATAGAATTAATTTTATTTCGAGAAAAACGAATTTTAGAATTCATCGATGTGATTTTATTCTATATTTTTTTATTTATTTTCACAAGTAATAATAGAACGTTTTATCGGCAGTTAATTAATAATTTTCAATCGAAAATTAACTAATATAATTATACTTAACAACTTTTCGAACTTAATTTTCTCGAAAACAAAATCTAGAAAAAAAAAATTTTATTCTATATTTTTTTTTTTTTTTTCATGAAAAATCACATCATCTTTATACCTACTTGTGTGTTTATATGTTTTTTATCTTTCTGCATATCATACACACTTTTGTATTGCTTATTTATTATAGTAATGAAATTTCCAATCTTTAAATTATTACATATGGAAAAAAACCATTGTTATATACTTTGTATAATGTTTTTCCATTGATAAAATTTTATAAATGCATTTTTAAATTGTACATTTTCTTAGAATTTTAATGCAAGATTTTTAATTTTGAAATATTTAAAATCATGTTTTCTAAAATTATATATAAAAATATATAAAAATACATATATATTTTGAATTACATAATTCAAAAATTATGATTATATATATATATATATAAGTAAAAAAGTCTTAAACAAAATTCTTATAAAAGCACAAATCATTATAGTTTTTTAAACATTAACATGTTTAAAAATTGAAAACAATTCTTTTAAACTTTTATATTTATTTATATATAATACTCGATATCGATTAGATTATATTAGATAATTTTGGAAACAATATATTTCTATATATTCAAAACCGTTATTACATATAACATATTATTTCATCTTTATCAAAGAATATAAAAAAAATTTAGAAAAAAATTAAAATAATGCTTCAAAATAGAGTTTAACTATGTTCTTTCATTTCAGAAATGCCCAACGATCGAGAGATCGCAGTGGCTAGTCTCCTGCTGAAACATCTTCAATTGTTGCAATTCAACGCGCACGAAGTATTCGAGACGCGACTTGGAACGGAGCATCGGTTTCGTGGTAGCAAACCTATCTATATAGGAGTAGCCATTTATCCGACAGTTGCCCGATTCAATCACGATTGTTATCCGGCGGTAACCAGGTGGTTTTTAGGGATAAATTATTCGAGACTTTTCGAGTTCTTAAGCCTCGAAACTTTTTGCTATTTTTTCGGAATATAATAGAACATAACAAATAATTTGCATAAATTATTTACGAAAATAATAAATTATTCACGACAATATTAATTTATTTTTATTATATTTACCATTTGTATTATAATTTGAATTTTTAGTCAGATTCATTATTCAATTTCATCAATTCATTAAATATAATTAATTTAAAAAAATAAAAAACAAATATTTAATTTATTGTTATTATTGATCAGTTATGAATCTGAATTTAAAAAATTTCAGAAATTAAAAGTTTGCTAGCATTTTAATTTTTTACAAGACAGATGAATATTTCTCAGAAAAGAAAGAAAAATATAAATATTTTAAGTGTAGAAAGTTTCGAGAGCTCATAAAATTCGAATTTAAAAATCCAGTCTCAATCTTTAATTACAGTAATTCATTTAATTGTCGCAGAATTAGCATAGAATTCGTTATGGAAGATATAAATCTCGTGACAATTGTTTTTTCTCGATTTCATTCTTTAAATTTCATTAGTTTGATTAGAAACAAGAGAGAAAAACATTCATTAGAGATGCTCATATTTCTTTTTACGATACGTAATACTTTAATGGACGGGCACAGCATTCTTATTTATTTTTTGCACATATAACGAGCAAATCTCATTGCGCCATAATATATGAATACGACTAATATTTTACAAATATTATTGATTTGATTTGAAGAAACTTAATTTTGTAACTAAAAAATTAATCATATATAGATTTAATTGTTATTTTTTTATAAAAATAATTACCTAAAAATTATCTAACCTAACTTAATCTAATTAAAACCAATTCATGAAGTGGAAATATGAAATAAAATTTTTATGTTTTTTTTTTATTTTTATAAAAACGACAAATAAAAATTTGTTCTATTCAAAACTGAAATCTTCACAATCCCCAAAGTATTAAGTTTTTAATGACGCATGCGTACTTTAAAAAACTGGTTAACAAAACACTATGATATTTCGTATTCGATCAATCATATCTTTTCACACTAAAATTCTTTGAAATTATTATACTTTTTATTTCATTTCTTTAGATATTTTCTCGGTCGTTGTATCGTGATTCGAGCAACTCGCAGTCTCCAACCAGGAGACGTAGTCGCTGAAAATTACGGGCCTATATTCACGAAACGAAACTTAGAGGAGAGGCGAAGAAATCTGGCTGGAAGATATTGGTTTTTCTGCGAATGCAATGCTTGTCGTGAAAACTGGCCATGCTTGGAAATTATGACAAACGATGATGTTAGACTGAGGTGAATGTGTTCTTCTTTTTTTCTTCTCTTATCTTGTGTTAGTTCAATCTATAAAAATCTATAAAAATGTTTCTGTGTTGTGAAATAAGATCTGAAGGAAGATATGAAGTACAATCAAAAAGAAATCAAATTGGATTTAGAATAATTAATTATACATGTACTGCATATCTCTTCGTGAATTTAATGACTTTTTAAAAAAAAATGTGAATAGAATTTTTTTTAAAAAAATAATATTATATATTATTATATAATTGTATATTATTATATATAATTATATATTTTATAAATATATAATATTATATATTATAATATAAAAATCTGACAGCAATTACAATGAAAAAAAATAAAAACTATCTTTATACAATTAAATAAATTTTACGCTTTTATAAATTGTTTTTAACCACTTTATTATGATGTATATACTTTTGGAAGATATATTTTTAATATATTCTTTTATTCTCAGGTTAGAACAAATACAAAAATTGATATACAAAAATATCGATTAAGTATTATTTATTAAGATATAATTCAAATTTGTATAGATAAAATGAGATAAAATGAGACAAACTTTCTAAATCTCACGAATATATTAATATCCTGTATAAATAATAAAAAAATAATTATAGAAATTCGTTGCATTTCAATAATTTTAAAAAAAGAATAAAAGATAATCTAATCAAAATTAATTCATGAAAATATGAAAATGAAAAATCTTCATTTCGAATTATCTTTTTCTTTGAATTGAAATAAATTTAAATATATATAGGCAATAATGCTAATATCAATTTCAAAATTTCAATATAGCTGTTGCATAAATATCTTTTGATATTATAGCGGAAATTTTTGCTAATTAATTATTATTAATAATAATATAATAGTATAAAACTTTAAACAAATTTCAATTTTTGTTATTATCTATTAACCTAACTTATTCTAACTTAAACTATATTAAATCTAATTAAAATCTGAAAAATATTATGATATATATAATGAATATATTTATATCTTAAAAATCGAACAGATATATATATAAAGAAAAATAATTTATTTTTTTTAATTAATTAAAATTAACTTTGATAATATATTCCAAGATCATTGAAATCAATGAAAAGTTTTTTAAAATTAAATCACTAAAAAAATTAAATCACTAAAAATATAAGTTGATTATTATATAAATATTGAGTTCAAATTGTTATCTCTATATTAATACAGTAATTTTCTAGATATTTTTTAGTATCATCTGCTCAATCATCAATTTTTTTATTTTTCTCATATAACATTATAACAAAATATTTAAAATAATCTTATTATAATCTAAGAAGATATATTGATATATTCATCAAATTTTACTGAATTAATAATTTTATCTTTTTCAAAAAATCTTCCTTTTCAACCTCTTCAACAATATGTTTTCATCATATAAAACAATTATGATTTAAATTAAATCTTCCATAATAACGAAACAAAACAATACAAATATATTTTTCATGACAAATAGTATAATTCTTTATTAATAAAAATTAGGATACTATATATTTTTTCTATTAGTAAAATTAAATTGAGTTAAGAATAATATGCAGTAATCGAAATTACATGATTTCATTTTGACCAAATTTTTCTTGATTTCTATATAATATTTATTCCAATAGATATTTATTCCAATATTTATTCCAAAAGATATATTATTCAAAATATATTATAGAAGATATAATTGCAAATGTTTCAAAATTGGATTAATGGAAAAATAATATTAGTTTTATAAAAAAAATAGATCAATTTATTATAATATTCTATCTAATTTTTAAATTATTTAAACTTTGTACGAATATTATGAAATTGTTATAATATATTAATAAATATTTTTCATATTTTTCAAAATATATATTAAAAAATGATAAGATTTATATATTAGTAATTTTATCATTTATCCTTAAATGATATTATCTTGTAATTCGAAATTTAATCAAATTTAATCAAATAAATTGTTTACGGATACACATGTTCATTTACAACATTTATAACATCTCAAAAATATAGAAAACATTATTCTCAGAATAATTCTTTTTTATTTTTTTTTAAATTCATATGATTGAGAAATTGTCTTACGTTTAGGTATTACAATTTTTTTTAATTTAATTGAAATTGATTTATAAAGTCAAAAATAAAATACCTTAAGAACATATAATACCTTCATAAAATGAATCTATCATGTTACATATGAAATTATTTATTTTATCAGGATCAAAAAACTTTTTTACCAATTCAATATTTAAAAAAATATTAAAACAATAAAAACATCTACAAATATTTATATAGAAACTATTCATTTCAATGAAAATCTTTAGACTAATTTATAATAAAATTTTTATATTCACAGCCTAGTTTATTTTTGATTACAATTTCATAAATTCTTTTCGATCGTAGATGTCCAACCAAAGGATGCTCTAACATTCACCAACGTCCACGAAATTCCAGCAAATCCATCTTCGAATGCTCCTGTTGTCGACGAAAAATTGATTTGAGAAAACCGTTGGACCACGTGCGCGAATGCGAACAACTATACACTCGAGGATTTGAAGCAATGGAAAAAGAACAACCCGAGAAGGCACTGGAGGCATTCTTTGAAGCAACGAGCAAGTTTCATAAAATCGCTATGCCGCCTCATAAAGACACTCACTTGGCTGAAATTGCAGCGAGCGCGTGCATGGCGGATGAAGGAAACGTTTACCGACTTGATTCTTTCCTTTGATTACGCGAATTCGCTATCATCTATTTGTGAACAACGAAACAGGAAGAAATGAAACTAACAGGAATAGAAAAACAAAAAAAATTATGTGATTATTACGTTCATCGTAGTTTGATCATTTGAGCAACATTTATCTCGATAAATGATGATTAAAATAAAAATATTTCAAAGAACGAAATTGTTACAAATATCACGTGATAGATCGGAAAAAAGGAGAAATATATGGATAATCGATGTGAGAGTGTAACAAACTTCACCCTCAATTCGTGAGTTTTGCGATTTTTTTGGCATTTATTTTTTATAATGCACATGTTTCGTGAAAAAATTAAATTCCGTATATGAAAGTAGCTTTTCCAAGTTTCGCATTTCGGTACAAAATTCACTGGGTTCAAAGGGAAGGAGGGAATCGTCAGTCGTTGAGGAAACAAGGATAAGGATAAGGACAAGGATATATGGATTGGGATAAGGAAAAATATGGAAAAAGGTTAAGGTTAAGAATGAGGAAAGCAGGATAGATCGATCGATGGGATATCGATCGACGGACGTCGTGTTGCAACGCGTCCAGGTCGCGACCGGCGAGATCTACGTCTCCTCTTTTACCTGTTGTTTCTTCGAGAGCCACAAGTTCCCTCGACATTCTTTTTTTCTTTCATTCCTTTTTCTTTCCATTTGTCCCTCGATCCGAGATTCTAAGGACAGCTCATCGTGCATCATTGCGATCGCTCCTCGCGAAAAGCTGAATTTAAAACTAATTGACTGTCGCAACGAGTTGGTACGCGAATTGTCACGATCCTCTCGTACTCGTCTCTCCCTCAAAAGTAATAAACGCGATCCAAAAACGTCTCGCGTGAGATAAACGAGACGAGAGTACCGAGAATGGTCGAGTACGATTGTCACTCGACTAATTAATTCCAGGCCATCGAAACGGGAACGCATCAACATTACAGATCGCTCGAAAGAGATCGTACGATCGCTTTGCGCTCGCTGTTCAACCGCAACGTGGCCGATTTTTAAACATCGCGTTGCCTGTTGCGCTCACAC